TGTTCACGAGATCAACATCCCCATCTTTGACAAACTATCGCAACCTTACAGAAAGACCATCTGTGTGATGCCAACGTCGACTTTGCTGATTCTGTGCCACAGCTTTTTGGTTTAGACTGCAACTTCTCGACACCGACGAAAGCTCTGTGACCTAGTAGTGGATCATCCTTTTCGCAGAATATCTGTAGATCCGTGTCAGAGTAGACCTCGTTCTTGTGGAATTAGTTATACGGCTCTGAACATTGGCCCATGTAGAGTAGGATTCCCATTGCAGTTTCTGCATGATTTTTTCAGTTGACTGAAAGCTTGATCTGCAGTTGCAATCCTTGTCATTAGAAAAACATTCAAAATATTAAGGAACATTTGAAAATACAACTTGACTAAACTGGCAGATTCGAGAGGCATGTTGTGGGTGCAGTTAGCAGGTGATTCTAGTAAATTTCGGCACGCTCTGGTGTTGCATCGCAGACAACCGCTTGGTTATACGAGCAAATAGGTGATTAGTGACAGTCACTCGATTGCTGAAGAATAGTTAGCATTTTCGATCACTGTTTGGAGCGAACAGGAATCCGTGCTTGCTGTAACGAATTCGTTAACGTAGATGAGTGAATCATCTCGTTGTCGTCCAAAACAGACAGTGATGGATTTGTTCATGATCAAAGTCAAATTAAGATCCAGCAGGCCGACAGAGCTGCAACATACTTAAGAGATCACGTTTCGTGTTTGCACACCATGAGACCATCGAACGAACCTTTGCCCACATGAAAGTCTATACGGTCGGGTTATCATTGAACCCTATCAACTCCACACATCCAAAAACTGCAACAGTATGCAGCTCTGCACAGATCATTGGACTACTTCACAACTAGAGTGCCGGTCTCACTGGTCTTGTTCACAGCCGCTGCCATTTGAATCGCCTTCCTTTGCGATGTATGAATGAATCGAATGCTCATCATCTAGATTGATGGCCTTGTCTCTGGCCCCACTTCTGCAACCTCACTGGGTTCAACTTCAGAGTCTCCTCATCTGGCACAACGAGAACACATTCTCACAAACAAACCAGACATACAATCAAACAAAACAGAAAAACGCGGGGATGGGTCGGTCCTGACGTGTCATGTGCCACGTCGTCGCGCCGTGCGATAGATGGTCTGTCGACGTGGCACACACTCTCTCTCTCTCTCTCTCTCTCAAGCTGTACTTCTTGGCCACATGTTGGAAGTTTTGGAGGAGGTTCCCTCCAATTATGGGCATCAAAGGAGGAGTGGAATGGAAGATAAACGTCAAGTAGTTCAACAGTCAAACAATATGTTATTGACTCTCTTTTGCAATTCTTTCTTTTTTAGTGGTGATTCCCTTTCAATGGCTTATATATATATATATATGTTTAGTTTTTTTTTTTTTTTTTTTTTTTTTTTTGTCGTCGTATTTATCTTATCCCCATATAAGTTGTCTTTTAGTAGAGATACGGAGAAGATGACTTCAAAGAGCATCTTTAGGTAGAGCCCACAACTTTTAGACCCACCCTTAATGCCTTCAATTTATATTATGTTCATAGTGTTTCTTCATCTTCCTTGTGTTGTTTTGGTATGCAATAGTCTTTGGTGGTTTTTATGTTGATGCATTCTCACATGCTTTTTAGTTTTTTATATTTAACTCTATATGTATCTATTCTCTTCTTGTGATACCTGCTACTAGATTTGACATTTAATAGGTTGTCAGCTAATATTAAATTCGTAATTATTTATTTTCCAAAAAAAAAATTGAATAAAAATTGCTTAAAATATTGTATTTTTAAAAATAATTTTATGTTAAATAAAAAAGTTAGAATTGTAATTTTTTTTTGTTAAGGATAAATAGATATTACCTAGTTATAGTTAAACAAATTTATTTTTATAATTGTAAGATGAGATGAACATTAGGAAATATAATAGCAATTGAATAAAAATATAGAGAATAACTCACAAGTGACAAAAACTTAGGCAAAGAATGTTATGAAAATTATATCAAGTAAAATCTTTATATTTTTTGAATATTTTTTTTATAGTTACAAATAAATAGTAAACTACTTTTAAATATATATATATATATATATATATATATATATATTGTGCAATTTTAAAGCTAATTATTTATATAATAATTTTATTTCATATTTGAACATCCTTTAAAAAAATCTTTAGTTAATCTAAAAACATATTTAATGCAAAAATAGCTTAAAACTTTAGTATTGATAACATTACCATGTTTTATAGTTTCAAAACCTGCTTTTTAAATAGTTGTTTAACATATTTTAAAAATTATTTGGTATTACAAAAAATAGTATTTATATATCTAGTAGTAAGTAAATATTTGAAAAATCATATAAAGTTTTTAGTACATAATCAAAAGTATATAAATACATACACACACACACACACACACACACATATATATATATATATATATATTTACATTTATAATTTTTATATAATGTACCTGACATGATAGAGACAATATAATATCTTCGTTTATATGAATTTTGCAACAATAATTCATATAATTAATTTATTTTAATAAATGAATGAGTTCCATATTATAATCTCATGTAAAATTATCTGGAAATTTTAAAAATAGAATAAAATAAATTCTATCCACTTTTATTTTTAAAATACAATTTAAACTTCAAAGAATAACTTAGAATACACTAATGTTTTACTAATTTGCTAGAATCATTTATTTAAAAACAGTATGCATGGAATAGTTACTGAATTTTTCTTGTTTTACATAATACTTTTTGAAATTAATTTATACAAGTAAACTTGATCTGATGTTTATTGGAGCTTTATTATTATTATTATTATTTTATTTTTATTTTTATCACAACCAACAAGAAAAATAAAGTAAATATATTTTGAAATATGTGAGAGATACTTGTTATGAACCTAAAATATAGACAGAAATAAAGAATATATAAAAAATTTAATACGAATTTATAGCTTCGAATACATATATATATATATATATATATACATATTTAAAATCTCACATGAATTTTCTATTCCTTTTAAACTTTATATGGATTGATACAATTTTAAAAACAACCCCAACAACAACAATTGGGCAGTGAATATTATTTTTGAACATATAATATTGTAGAGTCTAGCTGCACTTTTCTTATTGTACTTGTACATCTTTTGAACCATTGTTACTTTTTGCACCAACAGTCTTAAGTTAATATATGAATTTATCTCCTCCCATGTAGTTTATGTTTTATTGATTGGTATTTATAATACAAATAAAAAAAATCACAATAATCTATATCTATCTATCTATATATATATATATATATGTGTGTGTGTGTGTGTGTATGTACATATGTAATGGTATAAAGTATGATCATTTAATTAAAATATCTTACATTCTTGTTTGTATACCTTTCAATGGTTTCTAAAAGTTTTTAAAAGTTTGTAAAAGTGTTAGAACGTTTTTGTATAAATTTCTTAACAAAATCCACTTAGGCACTTATTGTAATTGATAAAAAAAATTATTTTTTGGAATCCAAGTATGAAAATTGGTTAATCCAACATAAATTTTATAGCTTTACAATATAGTTGAAAGAAAAATATATTAAAATTATCTATTGATGATTAAAAAAATTATATCAAAACAAAATTCACAAGAGTTTATTTTTTATTATTTGATGTTGATATTTCATTATCAAACTTGTGATGCATATAACTTCAAAACAAGTATCTTATCACAAATCATATTTATATATTGGATGTTGTACTATTCTCATTATATTGTTTACATATGAATCAGAAAAAATATTTTAAAATGCATATATACCATCAAAACTAGGTCATGGTTGAATTCAATAGTCTGTATGATAAAAAGCACGTTTTCTATGTACATTTGAATAAATAAATAAATAAATAAAAATCTAACTAGATTTAAAAAACCATTAATTTTTTTTTTTACTTATTAATATTTTAATTTTAATTAATTTTACGTAACTTATATTAATAACTTAGTAATAGAACTACAAAAAAGAAGTCAAAAAAAATATTTTTAAGGTCAATAAAAGAAAGAGGATGAAAAATTATGATCTAGATGCCCATGTTGAAGTTTTGTAGTTAAAATTTTCTAACAAGATGAGAGATTTATTTTGATGCTCTTTTTGAATAAAAGCCATTTGAAGAATTTATCATTTCTCAAATCTAGCTTATTCTACCTTTTTTTTAAAAACTTTAAAAACTTTTCAATTTTTTTGTTATGTATGTGTGTATGTAAATGTCTTTCAAGCTCAAATGTCACCCACAAACACAAAATATGCAAAAAAGCTGATGCTAGCAAAAACATGACAATACCCAATTCACTCGAACCGGTCACACATATTATTCTATTAAAGTTCCATGCAAAATAAAGCTTGTCAGAAATCCAATAATACAAAGGGGGCCTTTCCCAAAATAGCGGCAGTTAACACACGACTCCACTGCTCCATTACACACCCACCCACGGCCATCCATCCGTCACAGTAATGGGTGTCCCCACCGGTGACAGGCCCACGACTGAAACACCACGTCAGCTATCCCGACAGGGTCACGTCAGCATCCCAGTTGGCACGCACCGCAGGGTCACGGCAGAGAGAGCGCCGCTGCCCCAATACACTGCCTATGCTCCATGAGGAGGAGGAAGGAGGAATTGGTCTCCGAGAGAGAGAGAGTGTTTCTATATGTGAGCGAGGCCTACACTTTCCATCCCTACGAGGAGCAGGAGGAGAAGAATCCATTCTGTAGGTAGCCCTGTCTGTCTGTGTGTCTGTCCACTTCTGGGGGGCGCTGGCGTTGATCTTAATTCCCATTCTTGTTCGCTGATTGGCTGTGCACCCGCTTTTTTCTGGGTTCCGTCTGATTGGCACTGCTGCTTCTTCATAGAGCTCGTGGGAATCGTCGTCGTATGCCTTTGTGTAACCTCTTTGTGTTAAGAGAATTGGGGTTGGTGTTGTTGCTCATTAAGAGTTTGTCTGAATCCTGTGAGTCTTTGTTTTGTTCTGAATTATGTATGTATATATGTATACAGATATGTTTGTTGTTGTTGTTTTTTTGTTTTGCTTTATCCTTGCGATTGCAGTGGTGATTCCCACTTTGGTTGGGTTGAGGAAATGTTTGAAGGGTCAGGGAATTTGGCTTCGTTTTCTCGTGTGGGGTGTTGGCCAGTTTTGGAGTCATGTGGTTTGCTGTTGTTTTGTTGGAGGTTGGTTTGTTCTGGTGCCAGGTGTGGAAATCGGAATGCGGGAGGTGAGGTGCCTGTGTTTGCGTTCGTCTGATGAGTTGCCCTTGATTTCGTGGGGGTGTGGTTGTGATATCAGGTGATTACGTGAAGAGGTGAGGGTATTGTGCAGTTGCGAGAAGATGGTTTTGCTGAAGCAGCCCGAGGGTAATGAGGCCTCCGTGCTCAATGGATCGGGAGGCCAGAATATGGCAGCGTGGGTTTGTGGGAAGAACGACTTGAAAGTGCAACCCTACAATTTGCCACCCGTTCTTGGTGCGTCCTTCGTCATCGTTTTGTCTTAGATGCTTTTATTTAGCGTGATGACTGACTGATTTGGAAGTCTTCTGTAATAATACACCGATAGGTCGCAAATATCACTGAGGTGAAGATCTTTATGCAGAGCAATCAGCTTAAATGTTAAATTATCACAGAGCATTGCTGAGTCTAATTAGTGCTCCGGGATTGCCTCGAAATTGCAGGTGACCATGAAGTGAAAGTGGGAATCAAAGCTGTAGGTATTTGCGGCAGCGATGTCCATTATTACAGGGTAGGATTATCTGTCTTTTTATGTGTCTTTATATTATTTTATTGAGAAGCGTTCCGCTTGTTTTGGCCGATCGCAGGTAAGATACTAGGTGAACTTCAAATTTCGTAGAGCGCACTGATTTCTAATGGTTTAATGAACCCCTCAGCTAGTAGCTTGATATCGTTACGAATCAATGACATTTTCCGACACGGTTCAACATGCTGGCGGCGGTGCAGCACTTGCAATGTGGGGATTTTATAGTGAAGGAACCCATGGTTATTGGCCATGAATGTGCTGGTACCATTGAGGAAGTTGGGAAGGCTGTGAAGAATGTTGCAGTGGGTGATCGGGTAGCTCTTGAGCCAGGCATTGCTTGCAACAAATGCAAGCTTTGCAAGCAAGGATTCTACAACTTGTGCCCAGATATGGAATTTTTCGCCACTCCACCTGTCCATGGATCCCTTGCCAACCATGTGAGTCTCTATTTATGGTGATTTTTCTTGATTGACTTCTTGAAAGGTTCACTTCATGTGCTGTTTTAGGTAAGTTACTGTTTAAGGTACAGTTGAGTGGATGAGTGACTAAATTTTGTAAGGACTGTTTGTGGGCCATCTTTAAATAGGTTATTCATCCAGCGGACATGTGTTTTAAGCTACCCGAGAATGTGTCGCTTGAGGAGGGAGCCATGTGTGAGCCCCTCAGTGTGGGTGTGCACGCGTGTCAACGTGCAACAGTTGGACCAACAACAAAAGTTCTGATATTGGGAGCAGGGCCTATAGGTTTAGTCACTTTGCTTGCAGCCCATGCGTTTGGAAGCCCGACGGTCGTCATAGCAGACATCTCTCCTGAACGATTGAAGGTTGCGAAGGAGCTGGGAGCAAACGCTACAGTGGTGCTATCCACCAGTGACAATGTGTGTGCCTCTCGTGACTTGCATAGATTGTACCATACTTCATTCGTTCTTTCAGCAGTCAAATGAGTTCGAAATGCTTCTTAGGTATTAACATCACCTCAGTGACGTGAATGTCATTGAAATGCTAATATGTCCTCTTGGGTGGGTTTATCAGGAGGTGGAGTCAGAGGTACTAGCTTTGCAGAAAGCCATGGGAGCAGACATTGATGTCACAATCGACTGTGTGGGATTCACTAAGAGCATGAAGACTGCATTGAAGGCAACCCGAGCTGGGGGACGTGTTTGTCTCGTTGGCATGGGCCATAACGAAATGACCCTTCCCCTCACACCTGCTGCCGCACGGTTAGTTTCTCAGACCTCATTATTTGATAGTAAGCGTCTCTTTACAGCACGGTTGTTTTGTGGGGCATGAGAGAAGAAAAGCTTAGTCGCTTTTATAAAAATAACAAGAATGTGGTCGGTTAAAATCGGAAGTTGTTCTCCGAAGTTTGATGCTTCGATCAAGGAGACACGGGAAACGGGAAATGAAGATGGACGAGATCAGATGGAATCCCACATGACACGCATGCCAACAATAGTTTCAAACTAATCATGTTGATCGTTTTGAACATGCTCTTAAGATGTGAACTTACGAAGTCGTTCACACGATAAAGGTGCCTTTGATAAAAAAAATCATTTTTTTAATGTCTTCTCATATTTCTTCATGCCCTATCCCCTGATCGTGATAGCTATGTTCTGGGTTGAAAATTTTGAGCTGTTCTTTATGTCAAGGAGTACAATATTTCCAATACGCTTGATCCTTATCTTGCCCCATGTTATTCCGTAGATCAGATTATTGTGACATTATCAATTTCTAGAGGGATCTTAGTTGTTTTGGAATGCTACTTTCCCAATTTGTTTCTTGACCAGAGATCTGCATAAGAATTGCTTATAAAATGATTTTCAAACAAATATATTTTCTGGCTGCGTAACATTCTACTTTGTGATCGATTTATCTGTAACAGGGAGGTGGACATTCTTGGGGTATTCCGCTACCGCAACACGTACCCACTATGCTTGGACTTGATTAGTAGTGGGCGTGTGAATGTGAAGCCCCTCATCACACACAGGTTTGGATTCAACCAGAAGGATGTGGTGGACGCCTTTGAGACAAGTGCCAAAGGAGGCAGCTCTATTAAGGTCATGTTCAACCTTTGAAGAACAGAGGTTCAGATGCTGATAATTTTACGCGTCTATGTCCTTAACTCATCTCATGATACACATTGCTTTGGTAGCTGCTCATCTTCGAAGCATTTTTGTTTTCTTTGATCAAAGAATGTGTCGGAATCTTAAGGCATGTCCAGATAGTCTGATAACAGATCAATACTGTATGAATTTAGCTCACTGCATTGCTACGAACGGTTTTTGTAAAAAGGCTTTTGCGTTTAAATAAAGATGGCTTTCATGGACAGTATCCAATGATATATATATATATATATATATGTATATATATTATAATTTTTAGTCCTAAAAATAAGCAGGGCATAAATTTTATGTCTTCTACAGAGTAAATTTCTTTATCTTTAAGACGTAAATTCCCAATCATGGATTTAAATGGAAATTCGCTTTTTGAATGTAGAATTTGTAAAAATATTATTCATTTATTTGTGCCAAATAAATTCTTGTTATGTCAATTCATTAATAGACATAATTCATTCATTAATGGAATCCTTTGGATCCAATCACATTCAACACGTTCTAAATTTATGAAATATTTGTAAATATTCTTTTGTGATAGTATTCTTTGGACTAGTGCATAAGCCTAAATTTATGAATTATCAGATTTATAATTCATTTCTATTATATATATGTATACACACATACATGTTTTTGGCTTTTAATTTATAGGTTTCTCAATTTTCAATATATTCATGTGAAAGGATATATGAATGGCTTTTTGTGAAAATCAAATAATTCAATTTAACTTCTATTTGTGCTTTTGAAGTTAAGTTTAGTACATAGGATATTTTAATGTAGGGCAAAAGATTGTTGGATTCTTTTGAAAGTTAGATTGTATAATTGCATAATTAATACTTTATAAAATTATCCAAGTATTTTTAGTTTTAAAAATCTTTAGGTTTTAAAATAAGTATCAAAACCAAAACATAAGATAATTAAACTAGAGAGTTGATAAAGCCACATCCTTCCTTGCCATCTCATGATTGATTGTGTATATCTCCCATTTTTGTCCCTCATTCTTTGTTCCTTATTTCCATTTTCTTCTCTCATTTTTTGTCTCCAGTATCAAACCTCCCTTCATCCTTTATTCCTTATCATTTATCTTAATCCTTCTTTTCCTCTTTTGGAAATGGACTTTTGTAGAACTACCTTTATGAAGAGGTAGTGGAAGCAAAGATATGTCAAGGATAAGAATTCAAGGACAATACATAAATAAGTGGAATAAGTATTAAAGAGAAATGACAAAATGATAATAAGAAAGTATGCACATTTAAGAAGAAATTGAAAATGTATCAAGAACATGAATCTCAAAAAAAAAAAAAAAAAAAAAAAAAATCTCAATACTCTTATGTCACTCAAAAAGACTAAAAATCAGTCAAAGATCATAATATATTAAACTAAAATGGCTATTGCTAAAGATAAGAAGAGTAAAAAGTCTTGAAACAAGACTAACAACTAAAAAGACATTGACAAGAGTGAAGAAGACTTTACTCCTGCTTCCATCTATACTATCCAAATAAAAGCTACATAGTGATGTCTTATAGGACCTCTAATACATGTTCAATTTATAAGATACATGTATTAACTTACAAAGGTAAGTTTCTTATATGTATGCCACATTGTTAGCTTGTACCATAAGCTACTCACACATGCAATACATGGCTAACTTGTTGGTTAAATTTCTAACCTACCATTCAACTCTAAACATGTATAAAGTCAAATATGCATCTATGAAGCTTCTAAGAAGATTTGTTAAAAGATAATATTAAATCTACCTATATTTATTTTCTACCTAACACTTATTATTTAAATAAATATGTATGTTTGTGACATTACTCTCCCTTCTAGCAATGAATTCTACAAGAATTGATCATTATATATTGAAAAAGTCTAAAATATAAGAAATTGTGTTTGCTATATACTCTAATATTTTTTTTCTTCAAAAAATTTGATAGGTCCTTTCAGCTATTGATAATGTCTTATTCTAAGGCAAAAAGACCACCCCATTATTTGATTTCTATTAAAACCTTGATAACTTCTTTCAAAAAAAATATTTGTAAGACTATTACAAATCATTCTTATTTCTAATAAAATCACCAAATATCAAGAGTCTCTTCTAAGGTCATGATACCAAATATATTGTATCTCACCATTTATTTGAAGAAGAACTTGTTGTTCTTTAAGGTCTTCATTTTGATTACGTCATCTTGAAGGTTGTGACAATTACAATGTCTCATCTTGTAAATCAACAAAAGATAGTTTTTTTGTTGAATTTAATGGTTGTTGATTCTCTATTTCCTTAGTACTACAAATGAACTACAAATAAAGATAGAAGATAAAATGTAATCTTTCTTGAACTGCATTTTTTTGTAGCAAAGATTTACTTTTCTTTATCTTGATTTTGATAGATGTCATCAATGAAAAACATCAATCTGTATTGTTGCATTTGCAAGATTCTTAGTTGGCTTTTATATGCATTTATTAATATCATATTTGTACCAATGAAAAAAGATATTCCTACATATTTCAACACTACCTTAAGTCCATGTTTCCTTCTAAGTCGGACTCTTTATTATTATCCACTTCTATAAAAAGAGGTGGTATTTTTTTTATTTATTATTTTTTTTAAAGATATTTAATATTTTATATAACTCATAAAAAAACATGTGGAAATACATGATGGATTTTTATAGACTTTGATAGGTATAATTAATAAGAAATTAGATTGATTTATTCACAAATAGGAAATGGTCCAAGCCTGCAATAATCTAACTCATCTCAAGCACTATTAGTCTTGATATTTTAACAAAGCAAGCATATCTTGTTGCTAATATAGAATTAAAGTTACTCCTTATAATAGACATATGTATTGGTTTTTTGTCATCCTTGAGCTTCTTTCAATTGTACCTTCATTTTTATATGTAGCTCAAATAAATAATTTGCCAAATCTTTTTTTATAGGATAATTAACTTTTAAGAAGTCGAAAGTATTAAATCATGGATGATAATCATAATTAATAAAAAAAGATATTTTTTATGTAGAAGAATATATTATATTATTATAAGCAAACTTTGTCAATGATAAATAAATTGTCCAATCATTTTATTGGTGGTTTATGATACATCTCAAATACTACTCCAAAACTTGATTTATGTGATCTTTTTGTCTTTCATTTTCATGACAAAAAGCCAAAGCTAACTTTATGTCCATCTTTAGAATCTTAAAAAAGATTTTTTAAAATCTTGATACATATTGAATTTTCCTATCTAATATAATATCCTTAGGTAATCCATGATAATAATAGATATTTTTAAGAAAAAGCTTATTTGTTTCTTTATTAATGATATATTTTTTATATAGTATAAAATATACCATCTTGGCAAAATGATCTATTATTACAAATATAAAATCATACAAACTTGATATTGAAAGATCTATAATAAAATCCATAAAAAAAGTCTACGGTTGTTTTAGAATAGGTAATGGTTGAAAAAATTTGTAATATTAATAATGAGGAGTTTTTGATCTTAAACATACATCACATGATTGTACTAAGTCTTTGACAACCTTCTGCATTTGTGGCCACCAAAAATCTCTTAATATTAGCTCCAAAATTTTATTGTATCTAAAATGGCCAATTATTAGAAAGCCATGACGAACTTGAAGGATACATAATCATACTTTGTCTTCTGGAATATATAATTGTTCTTCAAAATAGAGTAGATTATTTTTGAACTTGAACTTAAAAATTTTATGAAACTTAGAAAAATTATTCTTAATATCATGAATAAGAGGATCAAAAAACGTATTCCATTGAACTTCCTTGAAAAAGATTGAATTAACAATTAATGTTGATTTCATTGCTCTAAGATGAAGATGCTCCAACTTTAAAAAAACCTTTTTTTGTTGATCAAAAGTTGTATCTTTTTTGGATACAAAGTAAGAATGTTTATAAAAGGTGTCTAATAAACCTTATTATTTTTTGAATTAATAAGTGATATTAAAATAAAATCTTAACAAAGTCATCTTCTAACAAGCTTAGTGACAATTCAATACATGTACCAACATAAAATACTTGAGGTTTTTATGATTTGTATACATAGTAACTATATTGGAAGAGTCTTCTAGAAAATAACGCTATTCTTGAAATAAATCCATAATTATAAAAAGTTCTTTGTTGTGGATCTTGTAATAAATCTTGGTTGGTGAAAATTTCTTAGAATGGAAACTATTAGATAGAGCTTATCATCTACTCCCATTTGTGATAATATAGCATTTATAGCAAAATTTCATACATTTATTTTTATAAAAAATGCCTTGAAAAAGTTGATGTAATATAAGATTGGTACAAAAATAAATATTGTCTTCAAGGCTTCAAAAGATACTTCACCTTCTTTGCTCTACTCAATTTTTTTTATATGTCAAACATATAAAAAGAGCTACAACTTGAATTTTTTTTTGATGAAGATTTGATAATAATTCACAAATTCCAAAAAATATTATACATCTCTGATTATTTTTGAGATCTTCCAATCCATGATAGTTTAGACGTTCTTAACGGCGCCCTCTTGTTCTTTAAGCCAT